GTATTCAAAGTGGTTAGGATAGGGGCTGGTGAGATGGCTCAGTGGTCTAAAGCACCTACTTAGAACAAACTTAGCAAAGCACAGGGACCGCGGTTCAATCCCCCAGCACCACATGCCAGCCCGCCCCGCCCCCTGGTGGGCTGAGCTGGCCACACACACACACACATAAATAAATAAATAAAAATTAAAAAAAAAACAAACCAAAGTGGTTAGGATATATAGTTACATTCTCTTAATGAATAGAGGGATTTGTTCTAATGGTGTTTGTAAATAGGATATCGTGTCCGCATCTTGTACAGCAATTAACCACTAGGAAGAATGTATGCAATGTGTGAATTATTGAAACTGTCCTACCAATTTGGTTTGAAACTGTCTCATTGCTATTTGTTTCTCAATAAAATTATGGAAAAAAATGTATTTGGTTACTACAGGGTTCCACCACACAGCTTGAACTCATAGTGATCCTCCTGTTTTCAACCTGCCCAGCGCCAGGATAACAGCCGTATGCCACTATGCCCCAGACTCTGTGGCTGGCTCAGCCCACCATGGAGGCAGGGCTGGCATGGCATGTGGTGCTGGGATCAAACCAGGGTCTCACTGTGCAGTTCAGGTTGGTCTTGAGCTCACTTTGTAGCCAAGTCTGGTCTCAAACTTGCAACAATCCTCCTGCATCAGCCCCCAAGTGCTGGGATGACAAGTGTGCAGCCACCCCGGCTTCAAAAAAATTTTTTTTTGTGTGTGTGGCAGAACCGGGATTGAACTCAGACAGACCCTTGCGCTTGCCAGGGAAGCGCTTATTCCACTGAGCCATCTCCCCAGCCCTCTGGCTTCAAATTTCTAAAAATAAAGGGTTGGGGATGCGTCACACACGCACACACACACGTGACTCCCAAGACTGCGGAGCCTGGCAAGTCCAGCGTGTGGTCCAGCCAGCCAGCTGGTGACTCAGGCGAGAGCGGATGTGGCCCTTCCAGCCAAGGCCTCAGCTGTTAGGATGAGGCCGCCAGCACCACAGACGGCACACGGCTACAGACAGCAGCCTGGCCCACCCAACAGCCTGTGCTAGAAAACCCTAGGGCGATGACTGGATGCACCCCAGCCACGAAGGTGCAGAGAAGGAGTTATGGCCACTGCACTACCCAGATCCCAATTCTCGGTCTGCAACACCCCAAGCCACGGCTGCGCTGGGCATGGCCTACACGCTCACCCTCTTGGCTGCTCTGCGGCAGCTTCCTGTTGGCTGACGGGACAGTTGCCGAGTCAGCAGAGCTTCCCACTTCCTAAGACTGTGTCCACAAACTGCCTCGGGGCATGAACAGAGGAAATGGGGAGAAGACCATGGCCAAAGAAGTATGGGACATCCTGGTTTCAGCAAAGTGAACTGGGTGTGGGGTTTTTGGTTTTGGGGGCAGCGTCTTGCTACGTGTTCTGGGCCGGCCTTGAACCACAGAGCCCAGCCTCAAACTCGTGGGAATGCTTCCTGCCTCAGCCGGGGTGGTGGGATTACAGGTGTGCTGGCCCCACCCCACTGGATCTATGTACTTTTTCTTCTGTACATTTATTTCCTTTTTTGCGGAATCGGGGATTGAACTCAGGCTCTTGCACTTGTCAGAGAAGCGCTTATTCCACTGAGCCATCTCCCCATTTAGAACCCCACTGATTCTAAATGGGGGTTTTGGGGACTTTCAGCAGCTGTGTTATATGAATGTGTGCCTTCTAACCATGAAGGTGACATTGCTTCCTGAGGTCCCCAGACATTCCATGGCCACAAGGCAAGGACCTTGCTAAGTTCCAGCCACTGGCAGTTCTGCCAGGGGGAAGGGAGCTGAACGGTAAGGGCCAAAGCATCCGGGCCAGGAGGCCTGTAACAGCTAAACAAAGCTAAGACCCTGACTCGACCCCTGGGCTATCCTGTCGCCAAGCTCCCAATCTAAAACAGGAGACACTGAATCAGGCCTTGACCCACGCTGGTGAGCAGTGAGCCCCGGTTGGCACCCAGCGCTCAGCACGTCAGTGTGTGGCGCTGCGGGCACCGAGCACTGCTCCTACAGAGGTAGGTCACAATTGGTCCAGACTGAAGGCTGCGGGCAGGGCCCAACCCACAAGCTCAGGCAAAGGTGGTTCCTCACTCTGCCCCTTAGCCTCTGGCTAAGGTGACACCTTTGTGGGTGGTGGCAGAGCCAGGCCAAGGGCTTCCCTGGCTTGTCTTCCTGCACCTAGTGCACGTCTGGGCGCGGTCTTTCCTGGGTCACAGGTGGCTGGGTGGCCCACCTTGGCCCTCCTGACTCGCGCCGAGGCCACAGTGTCTCCCCTGCAGGCTCAGGCTGGCCGTGGGCAGGCAGGATCCTTTTGTCACACTGTACTCTGCACCGCACACGAGGGGCTGCAGGGCCCGGGCGCTCTGCTGCAGGTCGGGACACACGGTGCAGGGCGGCAGACGTGGCCACACTCTTTCCAGGAGGAGCCGCCAGCAGGGAGCCTCCCTGAACCCACAGCCCTTCGTGAGGACCAAAGGAGAGACGTGCAGCCAAGGGAGGCCCCTAGGCTTCTCAGCCTGGGCTGGGACAAGCCACCAGCAACATTCTCTCGGCACTTCTAGCTGCTTTGTAAGGAACTCGGATGCAGACTGGTTGTGCTGGGGTGGAGGGGGAAACGGGACACAGGGAAGGAAGAGGGCCAGGAGCTGGAGTGCAGCTGACTGTCCTCCCGGGGGGTCTGAGGAGTCACATGTATGTCCCATCCTGTCACAGGAGCTCCAAGCTTGGAGGCCAACCTGCTACTCAGCAAAGGACAAAGCACTTCGCTCCCAGCTTTTCTTCTGTCCTGTCTGTACCTCCCTCAAAGGGGCCACCTATGCTTAATCCCTCAGCAGAGGTCCCGTGTTTTCCAAAGAACGTGACACAAAGACCAAGCCCCCGTCAGACAGAACTAGCGTGGCTGCACCCGCTTGAGCTTTGCACCTTGCCTCAGCCAAGGGTGTCCAGAAGCAGAGATGGACCCAAGTGAGGAAGGTGACAACAGGCGGCCAGTGTCCTGGCCAGTGGGGCCGTGGCAACATCTACCTGGATGCTACACGGGGTGACTGCGTCTGCAGTGGCCTTGCCAATGCCCTCGGCAGGGACGTGCCTCTCCCCAGCCTGGGGACCGGGTGCCTCTGTCCCAACTGCTCCAGCCCTTTCCTGGTAAAGGAAACAAATGGCTGGTCAGGACTGTGCTTCCTTTGGCTCTTTTTTTCCTTTCAAATCAAATTATGAAAACTGACACAAATCAGTGAACGGTGTTCACTTCAGGTCACGGGACTTTGCTCTCAAGGATGTGAATGAAATTCCTGGATGAACGGTAATTAGGATCAGAACAGTGGGAGGATCAGAATGCCCAAGCTCCCTCGACACTAGAAGGAAATCTGGCTCATTTAAAAATGATACTTTGGTTTCATATATAAGGGGCAGAGAAAGAGAGAGATCGTTACAGTAACTACACGAGACTAGGAATGTAATTATAAAATAAACCATACCCTAGCAGGCAAATTACTTTAATGTGTTTGCAAGAATTGAATACTCTGTATGGAATTAAAAACAAAAAAGCATTGTGCCGAAAATTAAGACAAAGACTTTGAATGTCATCAAATTACAAATATAAAAAGCAACAAATTACAAACATAAATTACAGGTTTCAGTGACATTAGTAGCCAGAACATAACCAATGAGCTCCTTAATCATCAGCTGTCTCAACTAATGTATAAAGGGATGGTGATTAAGCCAAAGGATCTTCCCCCCTTTCTCTTTGAGGAAACCTGACACAGCTTTCCCATAACTTCTGTAAGCTGGTGTTCCTTTTCTACCAGAAAACTGACAGGGAGGGGCATATTCCATCTGTCCCTCCAGCACCAAAATTTGCCTTTTGACCAAGGCAACAAAGGACAATTGCTTGACCCCTGCAGCCCCCTCAGGATCCATCCAGTCTATCCCTGTAAACAAAAAGAAATGAACAGCCCATCCTGCTGAGGACAGCATGTCTACCAAGTAACAGGGTGGTTCACGGCTTTAGAGTTTTAAGGGGTGGAAGGGAAGAGACCAGACCTTGACTTGGGATGTGTCCCGCGCCTCTGGTCCTCCGGGCCCGGAACAGCGCCATTTGGTTGCGTGCAGCCTTGTGCAACCATGGAGAGGGCCAGACTGCCAAAGTCAAAGCCAGAGGCAGTCCTGGGCCTCACCAAGGACCCTGCTCACCCAGTCAAAGCCAGGGAGTGCACACCGGGGTTGCGATGCCGGCCCTGGCAGGAGGGCTACAAAAATGGTGATTAGCAAATTGTATCAAAAAGTATCAAAACAGTTCAAAAAACTCTAAAAACAGCCAGGTTTGGCAGAGGCGAGGCCAGGTGTCTAGGCGCCTGTGTAGCTGTCCGGTGTAAGCTGCAGAAGATCAGGCTGGGGCCCGATGCCAGCCATTCTCCCACAGATGGCTGCATCCAGGAGACACTAGGTAGCCCAGCCGCAGCTGCTTGTCAACAAGATCCCTAAGGGGCTACGGGGTCAGATACCTGGAGCCATGGTATTTAACTCCCCAAAATCTGACTACAGTCCTGGGCCTCAGAGGACGGACGCCACTGCCCTCTGCAGGTGCCCTCCACTGCCAGACAGCTTCTGGAGACTGCACAGCACCCTGAGGGCACTGAACGGCTCCCAGGTGGAGGAGGGGCATTCAGAATATAAATACACACCTGTGCTCGCCCCAGTTGAGGTTTCATAGTCCTGCTGGGAGCCTTAATAAAATGGCAGGATGTATGAAAGGTTAGTTGAGGTCTAAGCACAAGAAGATGGTCTAATTTTATTTTACTAAAAAAAATTTATTTTTTCTATTTATCTGTTGGATACAGGGTCTCACTAAATAGTTAAGACTTGTAGTGATCTTCCTGTCTCAGCCTCCCCAGTTCTGGGATTACAGGCATGTGCCACCACGCCCAATTTCAGGGCTGGCATGGTATGCAGTACCGGGGATCAAACTCGGATCTCTGAGCTTGCCATCCAGGCACCTGGACCGCTGAGCCATCCCCCCAGCCCTGGTCTGATTTTATACGTATACAATGTCTTTTGTGGGGAAGGTTCTTGCTGTGCTGCCCAAGCTGACCCCGAGCTCCTGGGCTCAAGCAGATCTGCTGCCTCGGCCTCCTATAGGCACGCGCTACCGCATCTGGCCAATCGAGACACAAGTGGCAGGAAGAGCTCTGCAGACGACGAGCACACATCAGCTTCCCTCCTGTCCCCTCTAGGCTCACACGTCTGTCCTATGCCGACAGCGGTCCTAGCTCAGGTGAGGGTCAAACCTATAGTAATACAAAGCTGTAGCTTCTTTTATTATTTACTTTTGGTGGTGGGGGGATTGCACTCGGCCTCGTGCGTGCGAGGCAAGTGCTCTACTGCTGAGCTGCAGCCCCCGGCCCTCCCTGGGGCGGGGCTTGCACCGCGTGGGGCCAGGAATGGAATGGCAGACCCTGCCTGTTCCTCGGCTTGCCGAAGCGGGCGCTTCAGACCGCTGAGCTATCTCCTGGCCCTCTAATTCTTTTAAAAATAAGAAAAATCAGAACCTGAATAAAAGCTGTTCTGATTTTGAAAGGTCAAGGAAAATCAATTCAGGTTTTCTCAAAGCTCCAAAAAGCCCAGAGCACAATTTATGATTTTCTGGGGGGGAGTGGGGGAGGTGTTTGAGACAAGGTCTCACTATGCAGTTCAGGCTGGCCTTGAACTCACTATACAGCCCAGGCTGGCCCCCAGCTTGCAGCAATCCTCCGGCTTCAGCTTTCTGGGTGCTAGGATTATGGACAGTTCCAGGGAAGGGCACATGTGATGTTTCTGTTCACAGTGGTCTGCTGCCACAGCAGCCCCAATGCCTGCTCTGAAAGGACACGACTGCTGCCCAGCCCCCCCACCCCTACCCTTTCTCCCAGCCGGACCACACAGGGCAACGAATTTCCAGCTTCAAAGCCCAGCAAGCAGAGCTGACCCAGGAGCCCCCCAGGCTCAGGAACCTTCCAGCCTTCAGCAGCCCACAAGCTGCCACCCCCACGTCCGTCTTCTCCCCACTGGGACACGCTCAGCTTCAGCATCACTAGGTTCCACACCTAAACGGCAAACCGTGCCCACACTGTTGGGAGAGGCATCACGGACATGGGTGCAGGGGTTGGTGTGGGTCCCACACGGCACCAGGATATCAGGAGCTAGGCCAGAGCTGTCCCATGCAAGCCCCAGCAAAAATGGAGAGACCCTGCATAAGCCACAACGTAGAGCTCCAGGCTCGAGGTCACCGTGTGTGTGCCGGGATGGCACCACTGCCACACGTGCCCTCTCTGTTGGCCATCAGGAGCCCAACCTCTCCCAAACACCTTTCATGGCGGTCTGGGACTAGGAATGAAATGAAGCATGCCAGGCTCAAAGGGGTTTACAAAAGCTGGCTAGGCAGCTAGCGGTGAATGCAGGCCTTCTCAGAGCCTTTAACACACCCAGGTCACAGCTCTCAGCACAGAGCTGAGTGTCCCCTGGTCGGTGCGGGTGCCTCTCAGAACTTCTCTGCATTCTCTGAACCTCTAGAGACTGCCACACGCAGGTGACAACGCACGCACACTGCTTGCCTGATGAACAGGGAACTCGGCAGTACGACTCCCAAGCTGCCTCATCTCTCCTGGCTTGCAACATCACCAGTCGATCCAAAGCCACGTGGCCCGGCAGGGAGAGGCACAGCGCAGAGAAAAGCAGGAGAAGCAGAGCTGCTCTGCTGCTTCGGGGCTCACGAGGAATCCCGACACCTGCCCTCAGGACCAGAGCGCTGCCGAAGGACAGGGCACAGCCACTGTCCTGAGCTCAGGGCTCCGCCCCACCACTCACACCCAAGCCTGCCCAGTGAGGCTGCAGTGGCTGCGGTCCAAGGCGGTCGGCAGGGGGGGTCAGTTTCCAGGTCTGTTCTGGAGGTGGTGCAGCTGCACACCTGCAATGGAGCCAGACGTGTCCGTGGCTGCGGAGGAAGGCCAGGTGTCACCCGGAGGAGCCTGGTGCCAGGGAGCAATGGGCAGAGGGAGCGCACCAAGGATCTGCCCTGCGAGGCCGTGTGCCGAGCAGCAGGCGCGGGGCCAAGATGCACGGGCCACCCCACGGGCTCCGGCCCAGCCCCGCAGCCGAGAAGATGACGCATGCTCAGGCTTCCTTTCCTGAGAAATAAATGTAGGGGCCAGATCAGGGCACAGTGCCTGCCTGGCATGTGCCAGGTCCCGAGCTTGATTCCTGGTACCAAAGAAAAAAAGGGGGGAAGGAAGGAAGGAAGGAAGACAGATTTGGGGAGGTCAGCACATTGGTGTTGAGAGCAGTAGGTTTAGGGCAGAGGAAAAAAAGCACAAATTATAGCATGTTTATAAACAGGGAGCTTCGTGTCATTTCTCCTTTCCCTTCTTGGTTACTTGGAATCTCTCAGAATTCAGAAAGATTCCTCGCCAGGAAAAATGGGACTGTTCAGAAATAGGCGCAGCTCCCCGGGGACTCCTCGAGCCTCACCCGCCTGTGCACAGGTCTGTGTCCTCCACAGCCTCGTGGGTGACTCCCGAACATGGCTGGTGCTCCATCACAGAGCCGGGGAAAACAGTCTTGGGGTTTCCCTGGTAGTTCTAGTTATTTAGGGTATTTTGCCACAGGGTCTTGCTGTGTAATTCAGGCTGGTTGCAAACTCTCTACGTACCCAGGCTGGCCTCAACTTGTAGCGATCCTCCTGCCTCAGCCTTCCAGGTACGGGGATTCTAGGTGCATGCACCAGGCCCGGCTCCTTCCCTGCTGGTTTCAGATTTGACAGTTCTGAGAGGGGACCCAGGAATCTATGCTTTTCAAAGCTAGAGGCACTGAACGGGCTATCCTTCATGGCCCCGAGTTCCACTACATTCCTCAGGCCGCATGAGCTATTCTGGGGGAGGCCGGAGCAGCCCTCAGTGCCTGTCCTGGTGCAAGGCGCTCCGCTCACTGCTGGGCACCAGGGTGATTACCCAAGCAGCACGCTATGTGAAGTCTACGTAACTGGTGGCTGTGATACCACAGGCGCGGCGCAAGTTCTGCAAGTGGAAAGTGCTGCTAGGAGCACACAGCACGACCAGGAGCCGCTGGGGTGGCTATGGGGTCCGGGGGGGTGGCAGGGTCACTGGCCGCGGTCCTGGGGCCGCTTGCCCTTGCCCTTCTTCTTCTTGTCTTCCAGCCGAGGCCGGAGGGCACACACGCAGGCGGACACGCCAGCGATGGCCTTGGGCAGGTCAGGCCCACGGCTCCACTTGTCAGCCTCGCGGTCGTACACCTGCACGGTCTTGGAGAAGGCTGTGTTCTCCCAGCTGTAGCCGCCAAGGATGTAGATGCGGCCCTGCCACACGGCCACGCCCGACTCGCTGTTGGCGTGCAGCAGCGGCGCCACACGTGTCCACTGGTTGCATTGTGGGCTATAGGCCTCCACGCCCAGCACGTCGAAGCGCTCCATGGACTCTACATTGTCATCGCTGCCACCAATGGAATAGATATTGTCCCCCAGGCTGCACATGCTGTGCCAGCCACGCGCTGTGGTCATGGGCCGCCGCTCCTCCCATACATCTGTGCGGTGGTCGTAGCACAGCAGGTTCTTGCGGTATGGGCCGATCTGATAGTCATGGCCCCCTGAGATATACACAAAGTCTTTGTAGATGGTGCCTGCATGGCCGTAGGTGAACCTGCAGGGACCGAGGACAGGGCAGGGCTCAGTGCCAGGCTGAGGCCTCTCAGGCTTGTCCTCTGCAAATGGAGCAACCTGCCCCATGGGGCTTGCAAGAATTGAAGGAGGAAAGGCAGGGAGCCGGTTTCCCGTATTTTGTTTGTTTGATTTTTTGAGACAGGGTCGTGCTGTGCTGTTCAGGCTGGCCTTGAACTCAAGGTGATCCCCCTGGCTCAGCCTCCAGCAGGGATTACAGGTAGGGACTCCCACAAACACTTTACAGACCCAGCCATCAATGGGCAAGAGGAGACAGTATGCAGGTGAGCCCACAGCCTGTGGTCAGGACGCCTGGCCGGGGCCCAGCCTCACTTGTCTCCCCACACTGGACCCCTGCATGGGCCAGGCCAGGACCTTTCTTATAGTGGCTGGGAACCTGGAGACAAAGTGCTATTCAGGTGACAGACAACATTTCAGAAGGAACAAGGTGCAATTCTAGCTATGAGGTCACTCTGGCGGGGGTGGGTAGGGCAGGGCCAGGTCGGTGCACCGGGGCTGTGGACTCTTCCCTATGACACTCATGGGGACCCAGGAGCGTGTGGCACAAAGGCAGACCTGCCACCCAGCAACAACCCCTGGAACATGCCAAGAGGGCGAAGGGTGGGGGGGCTCTGTGCCCCACAGAGGGGCACACAGAACTCTTGGTGCTCTTTGCTCAATCTTCTGTATACCTAAAACTCCTGTAAAAGTGAAACTTTAGGATCATTTCAAGATCCAGGCCAGCCTGAACTAGAGTGAAAGTCAGTCTCAAAACCACAAGCAGGGCTGGGGAGGTAGTTCGCAGTTTAAGTGCCTGCCTGGCAAGCGCAAGGACCCAGGTTCGAGCCCCCGTACAAAGCAAACAAAAGCCAAGAAATAAAATAAAAAGATAAATAAAACCAAACAAAATTAAAGGTCAAAATAAAAAAGCCCAGGAAATGACATCATGAAGTTCTGGGCAGTAGTGACCAAGGTGGGAGGGCAGAGGTGATGGGGCAGGGCTTTTGGTGACAGCGTGGCCTTGACATGGTGGTGGCAGGAGGCAAGGGCAGGCAAGAACAGCAATGAGCAGCAGCTGCTCACTGTGACATGGACATTCACAGTCCACTCAGAAACAGCCAGGCTGGGGCTGGTGAGATGGCTCAGTGGTCTAAAGCACCTACTTAGAACAAGCTTGGCAAAGCACAGGGACCGCGGTTCGATCCCCCAGCACCACATGCCAGCCAGCCCCGCCCCCTGGTGGGCTGAGCTGGCCACACACACACACACACACACACACAAATAAATAAACAAAAACTTAAAAAAAAAAAATTATTAAAAAAAGAAACAGCCAGGCTATGATTCGGCACTGTCACACTCAGACTGTAGATGCCAACTGCACTGCTAAGCTCCCCTCTTCCCCTGGAATGTGGGCTGACAGAGCCCCAAGAGCGCAGGGGACCCAGGGAGGGGCCAATGCTCACACCCCTGACCCATGCCATTTGGGCCCACCCAGGCCTCCATACACGGTGGCAATGAGAATGGGCAGGGTGCATCCACAAGGAGTGGGCACTGCTGCCAGGACCCCTACCTGGCCTTGAGGGGCTGGGACCCATTTACAAATGTGACTTTATAGACTACAGGTCCACACAGGCTGCACACACCCTCTCACTCTGGGGTGGGGGGACCAAGTCTCAGAAACAGCAGGGCTAGCTCACATGGTACATGTTTGAGTATCCCCCCAGCTGCTCTGTAAGTACAGCAGGAGGCAGCAGCAGGGTAAGGGGGGAGGAGACACGCTACTGTCCTGGGCACCCCACTGTGTGCCCTGGGAGCCCCATGAACAGAGAGCGGCATCAACCTGCCCAACAGGCTGTCGTCGGGCCCCTGTGGGAGTAAGGAGAAAAAGGCCCTCACCTCTTTAAACTCCTGCCCCGATTCAGGGGGGTCTGCCAGCAAGGAAGGCCCTTCCTGTCCACAACTCAACACTCAGCTCTCTGGTCTCAGGAGTGGAACAGCCTCAGTGGGCAATACCTGCTGTGTTGGAGGGCTTACCCGCACCGGGCTCAGGTCGGGGCTTGAGCCAGAGCCAGAGCTCCTCCTTCCAGCATACCCACTGCTCCGTGAGAGAGACCAGGGGGCACTGCCCAAACCTGAGGCCAAAACGGGCAGGAGGTGAGCAGGCAAATGTCACACCAGAGCATGAGCGTAGCCCGACTCACCTCGGCAGGCCAGCCACGTAGGACCAGGAGTCGCTCTGGGGGCTGTACGTCTCCACAGAAGACAGCGCTCCGTTTTCATTCCGGCCGCCGACGGCCACCAGCATGTCTTCGATGGAGGCCAGGTAGAAATCCACACGGCGCTGGTTCATGGAGGCCACCTGCAGAGGTGAGACACCTGTACCTTCCCCCGACCAGGGAGCCATCCTCACCTGGCCCTAGGACCTCCGTGTTCTCAGAGGGCACGGCCCAGGAGGGTGTGACAGTGGACAAGCGAGCTTGGGGACAGGACTCAAACTGAGGAAAGACAGGGATCTTTGGAGCGGCTTGACAAGCCCCCGGGTTCCTTAGGACTTGTACGTAGGGGGAGTACGGACCCATGGTTCCCCAAACTTGTGTAGCCATGTGATTAACCTCATGGACCAAGGTTACACAGGATACACAGTTCAGAACTGTCAGCTTAGAAGTTTTCTGAAGTTAAAAAAAAATCATCTTTGCCTTCTGTCCCCCCATCAGATTTCAGAGCACCTCAAATGGAGCCTGGGTCTAGGGGAACCGGGGGAGCACCCTCGACCACTGAGCCGCACCCCAGCCCTGGGTATTTTAAGCTTTAATAATGCTAGCCATCTGGTTCAACAGCAGAAATTGGTGCTATAAGTAGAAGACCCGAGTCTTCCTGCTTTCTGAATAACCTCTGCAGAACACACACGAGCCTGGTCCTGCAGGAGACCACGTGGCCACAGCCCCCACAAAGCTTTGCGGCTTGACTCCACAGCTGGAGCTCTTCCGAGCAGGGATATGGCCTTGGGGCTGGACTTTCAGGAATAAGAGGAGGGTGTCCCACCCGGATCGGTGCTGAGGGCTGAGCAGGAACAAGGAGCTATACGAATAAATGCCAGGAGGGCGGGCTGGACGGGGGGTATGCAGGACACGGGGACCCCATCCATGAGGTGCTAGTCACCCTGGGCCATAGCCCCCCAACCTCCAAGGTTACTCTAGTTTTCAAGCGTGGAAGCTGACACTGGCGAGGGCATGGGTGTGAGGGTGGTGAAATGCCCCAACCACACCTGAGTGAGGCTCACGCTCTCCCCACAGCCAGGGCCAGCGCAGGCTCTGCAGCCTGTTTTCTTGTTTTGTCTGTCTGTCTTTCTTTGGGACAGGGTCTCACCATGCAGTTCAGGCTGGCCTCAAATTCTGCTGCCTCAGCCCCTCGAGTGCTAGGCCGACAGTTCTGTGTCACCATGCTCGGCTTCTGGTTCAGTTTTTTTGAGACAGGGTCTTGCACTAATTCAGGCTGACCTCGAGCTTTCAGTGAACCTCCTGCCTCGGCCTCCCATGTGCTGGCCTATAGGCCTGTGCACCCCGCCTGGCTCTGGCCTCTTGAAAACTCTTCCAGAAGCAAAGCTCCACAGAGATGAACAGCCATGTGCGAATGACAGTGTGCTAGCCAAGAGCCTCGTGTGGCTGCTTACGTTTAAAACACTAGTCAAAATTAAATAAAACTGAAAATGCGGCTCTTCACTTGCACTGGCCACATGTCAAGGGCCACCCCGCCCAGGACAGTGCTGGAGCCCAGGCACAGGGTGTTTCTGCAAGTGGTGAAGGGACCACCCGACAAGGACCTGCCCATCCTCTCCCCAGCTGTGGTGGGGGCCAGGTGGGGGCCGCTTCTTTCTCACGCCTGGTGCACAGCAGCACAGGTGGGGAGGGAGGGTAGGATAAGGCTGGGTGAAGGGACCGAGAGCGGCCTGGAGAGTAAAGAAAGAATCCGCTTTAATCTCACCTTGATCCACTGTTTACAGCGGGGGTCATACCTATAAAGCAGGTTGGAGGCTGCGTCCCCTCCATTGTCCCGTGAGAAGCTGCCACCTGCGATGAAGATGAAGCCGCCCAGCACGGCAACACAGTGGTGGCTCCGCCGGGCTGGCAGCGGGGTCTCCTTGACCCACTGCTCACTCTTGGTGTCCAGGTAGCAAGTGTCATCGCTGAGCTCCAGACACCGCTCAGAGACCTCGCCGCCCACGAACAGCAGGCGCTCGCCGTCAGTGCGCAGCGCGGTGCGTGCCGTCTGCAGCACGGGCTGTGCCGCCAGGCTGTTGTGGTAGCGCACGGCCTCCTCAATGAAGTCCTCGCAGCCGGCCTCCCGGGGCAGCAGTGCGCATACGGCCGGCTTGACACGGTGCAGCAGGTCACCCTTGGGGATGAGCGGGAAGCGGATGTTCTCCAGCACGCGGCGGGCGTGCTCCTCGCGCTCCGGCTGCTGCGTCAGCCACTGCAAGGCGGCCTGCAGCAGGTCGTGCTCACACTCGCGCTGCACCTGGCTGCTGCTCAGGTACAGGCACAGCTTCTGCATGGACACGCTCTGCAGGAAGGCCGGCATGAAAGAAAGCGTGCCAAAGTGGCTCAGCACAAAGCTGTCAATGAAGGCATCAAGCCGCTTGAGGCTGTAGATGGAGGCCAGTTCCTGCAGGTACAGGTAGTTGTCCTCGCTCACCTCCTGCTCGAGGTACTCACAGCAGAAGTCCACCGCCGTCCAGATCTGCAGCAGGTGCGCCGTCTCCAGCACATGATCGATGTTGCCGCCATCCAGAGCCAGCTCGCCGCCGTACAGGAAGTCCACCACGGCCTTGAGCCCGATGGGCGAGGCCCCGACCAGCGCCACCTCCTTCTCAAAGGCCTCGCGCATGCCCAGTGTGAACATGGAATTGAAGTAGTCACTGCACACGGCCAGCAGGTTGCGGTGTGCAGGCACACGCTGCTCCTCAGCCACCAGCACCACGTCACAGAAGAGGCCACGCAGCCGCTGCTCATTCAGCCGCTGCAGCACTGTGGTGGGGTGGTCGGCCCAGCGGTACACCTGCAGGGAGGGCACAGTTAAAGATGGGGCAGGAACACCCCAAGGCCACTGCTGCTCCTCTCCCTCCCTATCCCCCTCTAACTGAACCCATGACTTCCCCCTGGACTCCACTTTCCACCCTTTTTATTTTGAGATGGTGCCTCACTAAGTCACCGAGTTGCCCAGACTCAGCTAGAACTTGCAATCCTCCTGCCTCAGCCTCCATGAGCACTGGGATGACAGGGGTGCAGCCCCGTGCCCAGCTTATTCTTCCCATCTAGGTGCAGGCCACATGGTGTGGCCTGTGTATAGAAATGCAAGGACACACTTCAGACAAGGCTAGGAGCAGAAACAGCCAACTGACGGCCAGAAAGCACCATTGAAAAGCTCCGTTCAGAAGGACCAACTCAGAATCTGGCTGCGAAGGACGAAGGTTTCCAGCGTTATCAAACTTAGAAAGCTACAGTGTCTCCGAGACCTGTGCCAGACACAAAGCCCCTTTGAGAAAGCAGCCTCAGCGTCTGGGTTTCCACACAGATAAAGCAGAGCTTGGCAGCAGGGCCTGTTCTCAGGGGGCCGGCCCCTCCTGCGCAATGCCCCACGTTCTTCCCCGTAGCCAAGAGCCTGCGCCGTCCTCGCAGTTCCCTTTCTAGCACAGTGCTTCTCTATTTTCCACTGAGAAGCCTTTTAAGCTATTTTGGCCTAAGAGCTGCCTCCTATCCCCCAAATTTCGCCATCACCAGCACACTGCTGTCTGCCTAAGGGATGCCTGAACACTTCTACGTTAGGCAGAAAGGATATAATTCCTTCTGCACCCCAAGAACCAATCTACACCCCCTTGGGGACAGTGTATCACCCTGAGAATGTGTGACCCAAAGTAACCATAAAATTTAATCTCTAGTGTGCCTATCATCCCAGAACTCTTGGAGGCTGAGCCCGGAGGAGTCCATATTTGAGCCCATCCTGGGCAAATGAATAACTCAGTGAGACCCTGTCTCAAAATAAAAAAAATAATAATAATTTTAAAAAAGGGCTAGGGATGGAGGAGAGTGCAGAGGCCCTGGGTTCAACTCTCAGTACTGAAAAAAAGAAAATCTTCCCTAGGCAAACTTTGTTTTATAAGGAATTTTTGTTAAAAAATATCAGGCAATTATGAAACAAACATTTATGTACCTAGCATCAAGAACTTTAAAATATTAATAACATGGATTAACAAATATCATTTTTCATCTTTGTGTTGCTTTAAGAAATTAAAACATTCCAGATAAGCTGGCAGATAAAATCTAACTCTTTTTCTCCCCACTTGATTTCTCTCCTTCCATGTGGGCAGCTTTTATCATGAATGTTATAGGTGTTGATGTAGCAATGGGATACTTTTACAGAAAACAGGGCACCATCAGTGTTTGTCACTAGGCCTGGGGACTGTCCCGGGAGCTGCGGGCACCCCACTTGCTCCAAATGCTCTTGACCACCTGCTGAGGCCTGGTTCCCCACACCTGGGCTCAGACTGCTGAGGCCAGCCAGCTGGCCATGCCTAGTTCTCTGCACATGTATGTTTGTACACACATGCGTAAGGGTGCAAGAGTCGCTGTTCAGTTCAGGCTGGCCTTGAACTCTCAGCCAATCCTTTTGCCTCAGACTCCTGAATGCTGGGATGACAGGCATGCGCCACCACACTCGGGCAGTCAGAACTTCTTATATTGTCCAGTCAGTCTCCTGCCATTGATACAGACAATAAGTCAATCAGACTGTGACAGAGGATGCTCTCAAATGCCACAGTGGAAAACACCTGGCCATGGTGTTCACAAATGTTCCTTGTCCCACACTGCCTCTGATTTTACTGCACTGTCTGCTCCTTGCTGGCTTCTACCTCTACTAGCCATCGTGGAGATCAGCAACACCACAAACGAAGGTCAGTCTGTGCATGAGTTATCCAGAAACAGGCAGCGAGCACTGTTCACAGACCTTTGAGGATTCGCTGATCTTGTAGGGCCGGGACACTCGAGTCTGTCTGCTTCCCTCCATCGCAGAAGAGACTGCAGCCCTGGAACAGAATGGGGTTCCCAAGTGTGCAGCAGGAAAGCCAGGTCACTCATTCACTACAGGTCCCACCAGCAGACAGGAAGAGCACGCAAAGAAGTTACTTGGAGGACAGCGGGAGAGAAGGGAGTACTACAAAGAACTCTGACACTGTAAGTTGAGAAAATCAGGTTGTCAGCCTTGTTGTGAACTTTACTAGCAACCCTGACCACAGTGTGGTGTACCTGCTTTCAGGGGATTCACCTGAAGCGGGCCTGTTGGCTAGAATGAGGTTAGCATGAGGGACCATCAGCCCGACTGCGCCCCTGGAAGAAGCTGAGGGACTTCCAGGTACACCTTTCATTCCACAGCTACTCCGGCAAGAGATAGCACTGAGCCTGAGGACACAGTGAGGCCTCAACTTGCTGGGGACCCTAAGTGAGGTTGAATCATGGCGCCGTGAAGACACAGTGCCCTCCAGACACAGGTCCCACCCCAGGGGCTTTCTCGCCTCTTCCCTCCTTTAGCCCCACTATCCCCCACCCAGACCAGCACATTATGCTCTTGGGGTCACAGAGGGCTGAACTAAGCTGTCCAGCTTCACACAGCCAGCGGGGAGCAAGGGCTCCAACCCAGAGGCTTCCAGCTCCTCATAACCCCTCCAGTGATGGCCAACCTTTTAGAGCTTCCAATGATACAAACAGCCCCCTGCAGCTTCCACACCACTGCCTAGGCTATCCTGCGTGGCTGGGGGGAAGTGCCCAGCCCTGAATGAAGGCTTAGGCCAGGGCGTTAACTTCAGACTTCACCCTTGCGCTACAGAACAGGCCGGCCAGGGTGAAGGTTTCCACCAGCCTGCCCAGAGCCAAGCAGTGGGGGCCTGGGGAGGCAGGGTGGACTGGCTGAGGGCTCACAGAGGAATCTTTCCTGCTGGGTGTCTAAGAACCATCGGGTTACTTCTCAAGTCTCTTCTAAGAAAGAACAATGTAACAAGAACTCAGCACTGCTCTGAGATAAAGGAGACACTCAGGGGGCTACTGTGTTCCCTTAGGAGAGAAATACGTGACATTTCATCCCAATCCTCTTTCCCCGGAGAAGGGACAACTAGATCTCTCTGGACAAACTGACCACTCTGTGATCGTGACAAGCTGCACCCACCATGGATCTTCACTGCCCCTGGGCATTTGGAAGGCCCAGCCAGAAAGCCAGCATTCATGCAGTGCCCACTGCACACCTGACTGCCCCTTTCATTCTGGCCTCGGAGACAGGGTCGCCAGCCCTGCCACAGAGTTGCCCACGCTCAGGTAGCCCAGGGGCTCGCCCATGGTCACACGGAAGAAAACAATGCCCTGCCCCTCCCGCCGCCCCCTGGGCTCTGGTTTGCGATCCTTTCTAGGCCGAGATATCCAGAGTTTCCCAACGCTGGAGGGTCCCTTGTACTCAAGCCAAGGTCTGGGGCTCGTCTTCCCAGGGTGCTGGGTGCCAGCTGCCGGCTGTGCAACTTGAGCAGGTACGGGGTGGAGACCCTCGCCCTCCAGTTTAGTGTGAAACGTCTTTCCCTAGGTAACGGGGCAGAGCCCACGTCTCGGACAGGGGGTCTGCGGGGGTGCTGGGGAGAAGCTAGTCCTTAGTGCCAGAGCAGGAAGCACCCCGCGGACAGAACCTGCACGCACCGCGCCAGGCCTCAGCGGCTGGGGCTCGGGGCCACCGCTACGGGACCTGGGGACACCCGCCACCCGGACGGCTCAGGAGAGCGGCGCGGGGCTGGGGGCTGAGCGCGCGGCGCAGCACTAGGCTCACCTGCGGGGGCGGGACGAGGGCTGACCGGGCGAGGCGGGGGAGGGCTCACCTGAAGGGACGAGCCTCACCTGCGGCCGCGGCCCGCTGCCCGGCTCACCTGAGGCCCTATCCCGTCCGCGCCGCAGCGGCACAAAACGACGCGGTGACCACGATCCGCCGCCCCTGCCTGGCGCCCCGTCACAGCGCGCGTCGCCACCTGTCGTGGGGGCGTCAGGATGCGGGCGGCGGGAAGGCGGGAAGGTGGGGCGGGCGCGCAGGAGCCCCAGAGTCGGCCCGTGGTACCGCCATGGCTCCGCCCGGAAGTGCGAGGGCGGGGGCGGGGGCGGCGCACGGCCAATGACGGCGGGCGCCTGATGGGGCGTGGCCTGAGCCGGGCGGGGCGGAGCTGGGCGGGGGGCGGGCCTCGCCCCGGGTAGGCGGGGCCAGCGGCCCGGACACGGTGGAGCTCCGAGGGGCGGAGTCGCGCTCGGGAACAGGCAGTTCTAGCTCCAAGACGGCAGGGAGCCCTGGCAAGGGGTGGCGAAGGCCTTCGCGCCTCCCGACTCCCTGCACGCCCCTGTGGGAGGCCTCTGCAGGCCACGAGGCTTGCAGCCTCTCTCTTTGCCCCATATCCAGCTTCCTCTCCCCCTCAGATCACCACTGTCGATTATGTTGTGCTGGATTGTTCTGCCCCCAGCCCACGAATGTTTTACATAAATTACTCATTTGTGCGTTTCTTAAGTTTTGTTTTTCTTTTCCTCTCCCCTTTAGAAATCTTCTAGGTTAGGGTGTACTGTAGCTTTTATTCTTGGCTGGCCCCCTAGAGGCACGAGGTAGGGGCAGATTTGTGGAATGAATGTATGCGTGAGTTCGACCATCACCGGTGCATCAGGAATCTTGTCACAGCAGAGGTGAGCCCAGAGCCGGCTGCGGCAGAAAGCAGCCAGACAGAGGCGGACGCCAGAAGCCGCCTGTGAGATACGGGCAGGGCAGGGGTGCCCTCGAGGGGGAGGAGGACCTGCCGCTGCCAGGGGCTGGGAAGGGGGAGGGTGGGAGCTGGCAACGGGGTGGCGAGTGGGAGGTGGGGTAGCGTGGTTCTCCTGGGGTGGAATGGGATGATATGGATAACAGCCCTAAAAGTCATCTAAAAAGGTGGGCCGGGGGAGATAGCTCAGTGGCATAAGCACCTGCCTGGCAAGCGCAAGGTCCTGAGTTCAGTCCCTGGTACAAAAATAAATAAAATAAAAAGGTGAATTTTGGGGTGTGCGAATTATGTTTTGATGCTGTTCATAAAAACCAAGCCAAAACAAAACAAAAACCTTACTTTTTCCTGTTTTCTGTTTCCTTGATGGGTCAGGAGGGGATTCAGGGGTACAGAAGACTCAAGAGGCCTCAGCTTCCCAGGGATACCATGGGTGCACCCCAGGGAAAGTCAGGATGCTGGGGCAAGCATGGCGCCTCCTGTCCCCCAGTGTCCCCCAGTGGCTGTCCCCAGAAGGTCCCACTTGTCACCCATGCACAGTGGGGGGCAGCAGGGGTTGTGGGTGCAGGAGTGAGGGCCCTCTCGGGCGCACAGTGGCAGCAGGACACGGGGCAGCTCTGCTGCTTTTGGTCAGCTTTCGCTCCTGAGCTCCTGCCAAGTTGGGGTGGATAAGAGCAGGGCCACCACTCTGCTGGGGTGACTGCTGCTCCGCACTGCTCCCCGATACAGGCCTGACATTTATAGCACTTTGTTGGGTTTGCTCAGACCACCCCCCCCACCTCCTGTTTTTCACATTTTTGAGACAGGGTCTCATTACGTTGCCCAGGCTGGACTCCAACTTTGATCCTCCTGCCTCAGCCTTACAAAGTGCTGCCATTACAAGTGTGGAGTCACCATGTCTGGCAACTTTTAACACATTTTTTAATTAAATACCAGTTTGCTCAGAATCTAAAGTATAGGGAAGCCTGTTGTGATTGTGTGTACCTATAGTCCCAGCCATGCAAGAAGGTGAAGCAGGAAGACCATTTGAGCCCAGGAGTTCAAGGCCACTGTGGACAATGCAGTGAGCAGCCATCTCAAAGTAATCACAGAAGGGGGTAGCATAGTGGTAGAGTGCCCCCCACTCTCTTTATTTTAGTTTGAGACAGTCTCACTACACAGGTCAGGCTGGGATTGAGCTCACTTTGTAGCCGAGACTTGTCTCAAACTGACAGCAAAGCTCCTGCCTCAGCCTCCCAAGTGCTGGGATTACAGGCATGCACCACCACGCCTGGCTCTCACGCTCTTCAAACTAACATGAGTTAGTATAAAGTAGCTGTCTTCCTACAGGCCAAGCACATTCACCTTTGGAAACCCTCCTTAGGCATCTCCTTTATCTGCACCCCATCTGGCCACGTGGGCCCTTGCTTGCCCTCCCTGCCCCAAGGGAAGCCCACTCAGACACTGTTCCACCTCTGGAGCTTGATGTGGCATCTGACGTGGCATCCGGGTGCTGCAGGGATTCGTGCCCTTCGCCAGTCCTTCAGCTGGCTTGGAGAGCACCTGCTGGACGGGGGATTGAGGAAGGAACTTTCATGGCCTTTCCTTTCCTTTTTTTTCTTTTTCTTTTTTGTGGAACCAGGGATTGAGCTCAGGCTCTTGCGCTTGCCAGGCAAGTGCTTATTCTACTGAGCTTTCTCCCCAGCCCCATTTCATGGCCTTTAGGGCAAGAGACGAATGATCAGTAATTATTGCATCATGGGTAGTTGTGTATTAGGCCATATTCTCAGGGCTATGAATGACATACACTCTTTTGTACAGGTAATGACTACACACACACGCACGCACACACACATGCACGCACACACTAAGGACTGAATCATGGGCTTTCCCCTGGCCTTCTCCCAGTCCCCCACCTTAATTTTTTTTAAAAATTGGAGGGATGAATATTTTGAGACTATGCATTTCAGCCTGGCCTTGAGCTCATTGTGCAGTCCAGACTGACCTCAAACTCACAGTGATCCTTCCTGCCTCAGCCTCCCAGAGTGCTGGAGTTACAGGCATATGCCATCGTGCCCAGTTAGCTACAGATATTTGAAGGTGCTGCAACTCAGCATCGATGTCTGCCTTCAGGGCAGGTTCTTTCTGAATGAGGAGACCTACAGCTTCCCTGTCACTGGGCATCCAGCTGGTGTCACTACCATCAGGAACAGCGAGGCCACTAGCCTTGCAGTACTTCCTGTGCAGCTCTCTGAAGACAGAGTGGAACTTCCAGGTCAGAGGGCGCATGTCTTGGTCAGGCTGCACCGCAGCCCTCCAGAAGGAGGGCGGAAGCAGGCACCCCCAACGCTCTCTTCTTCTGAGGTGCAGGCAGGGCCAGCTGAGGAACCCTCAGGCAGGGCTCAGTGCATATGAGAGCTGTGCCCCGCCCCCACTTGTGCAAGCAGCGGGAGAGGGCCTTGCCTGTCTCTGCAGAGCCTACCACCACCTGCCACGTGCTTTCCACTCACGATTCCGGCTGTGCTTCCTTGGGCCCTGACACTCCCAGGACACAGCTGGGCACGTTCAGGTACCTGCTGCCGTCTGTGTGATTTGGCAGCGGCATGCTCAGCCTCAGGTTCACGCCCTCTGCATCTGCACTGCCCCCACCAGGTGACAGGCATCTTCAGGCAGGGATGAGGGAGCTGAGTAGCCCAGTGTCCTGGGAGGCGGCACCTGTGGTGAGCTGAGGCTCCATGCCCCCACCTGCTCTCCTGCCTCATGCTTTGCACACACGTGCGAAGATGGAATCTTTCCCAAATCCAAGACAGCTGTCTCTGAATGTTGAACCGTAGATTTGGGCCTTCCTGAGCACTGGGCCCTGCATAATCTCAGTCAGGACTGTCACTCAGGAGGCCCACTCAGGCAAGGTGCATGCTATTTCCACACGTGGTGGCACACACCTGTCATCCCCACACCATGGGAAGCTGAAGCAGGAAGATCACAAGTTTGAGCCCGGTGACTTAGTGAAGGCTGGGGATGTGGCCCAGGGCAAGGCCTTGGGTGCAGTCCCCAACGTAGGGAAACATCAAGAGGCGGGGCTGCAGGTGTAGCTCAGCGTTGGTGCGCTTGCCTAGCATGTGTGAGGTTTTCTTGTTGCATCTGTTTGCAGAGGGGGCAGCTGAGGTTCTGTGGGACTGGATGACTCATTGGCATCACCCGGGGTCAGTGCATGCAGTGGGACAGGAACACAGGCTGCGCCATGCCAGCGCCCAGTTGTTCCCAGCGAGCCCTGTGCTGTACCGCTCACCAGTGACTGTGGAGTTCACCCTGCAGAGCCTGGAGCCCTGCGGCTGCGGGGCTCAGGGTCAGTGTTTTTCCGCCTCCTCGGACCTCGCCCTGCCTCCTGGGCCACT